TGTGGTGACTGGAGAGGGTTGTGCAAAGCCCTGGTCCCTCTAGCATCTGCTCCAGCTTGAACGCCTCACAACTGTCCTACAGGCTGGGTCCAGGTGAGATGGTGTGGTCTGGCGTGTTTCTCTGGAGATGGAAATGGCACCTGCTGAGTCATCCAGACTCTTACCAGATGGCTTTTGTTAGCAACCATTTGTATTCCCCAGACACTTTTTATAAATGCCAGCCTTTCTTAGCCCTTCCTTCTCCACAGAAGCCCTGTCTGTGGCCATCACAGTCCTGACCCAAGTCTCCCCTCTGAGGGCGTGCGAGCATGAGAGCTGGTAGCCTCGGAAGGTTAGGTGGCAGTCTTGCCATTTCTTCCGGGGGCATTTGACAGTGATACAAAGGAGACAGATCCAAAAAGCGGTTGCTGTTTATGCCGTGACCATTAGACCAGGTCCCTCGGAAGGGCTTCCTCTTCTTATCTGCCATCATCATAGGAACCGGTTAGGACAGCATTGCCCTGTGTAGGTAAAAGCCTACTGAGAGGGGAGGTCATTCTGTTGTAGCTCAAGAGTTGGAGAAATTACTGACGTATCACTCTCGGGCACCGCGCTCTTATTCTTCTTGCTATTCTGTTGTTTTTGAAACCCGGTCTCAAAGAACAACAGGCTGGCCTGGTACTTTATAGGTTAAGGATGACCTCAAACTCCTGACTCTTCTGTCCCTACCTTCCAAGTTCTGGGATTATAGGCCTGTTCCATCATGTCAGACATTTGTGGCCAGTGTTCTGTGCATGCTGGGTCATAGCTCCAATCCCTCCGTATCCCTTGCTTGCCATTATTTCCCCGTGAGACTTGCATTTGTTTCTGAGTCAGTCTGGGGCTGAGGGGGATAATGGAGCATACCACGGTAAAGGAAGACATGTAACGGGCTCCCCGGGGGATCGTCTTGATCTTGGTCAGGTTGAATGATGTTCGACCTGTCACATGTTACAGCTGTGAGGTTGAGGATGGCGTGGGGAAGTGTCATGGACAGAACGGTGGAGAGAGTCCCGACTTCAGGCCTGGAGAAGAGCTAGTCCTGAAGTAGGCTGTCCTCTCTGTTACCCTTGGATTAAACAAACCCGGAGAATCAGAGAGAGAGAGAGAGAGAGAGAGAGAGAGAGAGAGAGAGAGAGAGAGAGAGAGAGAGACAGGTCTGAGGGTGCCCCGGACCCTGTCTTCACATGATACACTTGTTGTTTGGAGAGTCAAGGGGGGTTCCCACTGGAACCTCCCCCTTGTTGGGGAAGCAATCCTAATTTTGGGTGTCTATGTCGCGGCAGTGGGGGTCGCACAGCAGAGTGGCCACTATCTGACCCTGGGAACTAACATGAAGTAACGGGTGATGTTGGTGATACAAGGAAGGTGGTCAGTGAGTAGCTGGAAACAAGTCACGGAACGAAAGGATCAGTAACAGGGGCAGGCAATATGGCGGGGCAGGTAAAGCGCTTGCCATGCCAGCCTGCTGACCTGGTCCTGGCCTTGGAACCAGCGAGAAAGTAGAAGGAAAGAACCCACTCCACAAAGTTGTCCTCTGACTTCCACATGTTAACCATTGCACATGTGCCCCTCATACACACATGTGCCTGCGCACGCGCGCGCGCACACACACATATACACCACACACACACAGCACACACACACACACACACACACCACACACACACAGCACAGACACACAGAGCACACACACAGAGCACACACACACACCACACACATACACAGCACACACACAGCACACACACACACACCACACACACACAGCACACACACACACACCACACACACAGCACAGACACACAGAGCACACACACAGAGCACACACACACATATACACCACACACACACAGCACACACACATACACACCACACACACCACACACACACACAGCACACACACACAGAGCACACACACAGAGCACACACACACACCACACACATACACAGCACACACACAGCACACACACAGCACACACACAGAGCACACACACAGAGCACACACACACACACAGC